AGAAAGCTTGCGAAAGGGTGCTCATACGTGCATAATCGGTGAAAAATCGTCAAATTCCTCTAGAAAATTTGCGAAAGAGTGCCCATACGTGCAAACACAATACCCAATCGTCGAATACTTCTCGAAAGCTTGCGAAAGGGTGCTCATACGTGCAAAAACAATACCCAATCGTCGAATACTTCTCGAAAGCTTGCGAAAGGGTGCTCATACGTGCAAAAACAATGAAAAACCGTCAAATACCTCTAGAAAGCTTGCAAAATGGTGCTCATACGTGCATAATCGGTGAAAAATTGTCAAATTCCTCTAGAAAGCTTGCGAAAAGATGCTCATACGTGCAGAAACGATGTAAAACCGTCAAACACCTCTAGAAAGCTTGCGAAAGGGTGCTCATACGTGCATAATCGGTGAAAAATCGTCAAATTCCTCTAGAAAATTTGCGAAAGAGTGCTCATACGTGCAAAAACGATGAAAAACCGTCAAATACCTATAGAATGCTTGCGAAATGATGCTCATACTTGCAAAAACGATGAAAAGTCATCAAATCCCTCCAGAAAGCTTGCGAAAGAGTGCTCATACGTGCATAATCGGTGAAAAATCGTCAAATTCCTCTAGAAAGCTTGCGTAAAGATGCTCATAGGTGCAAAAACAATGAAGAACCGTCAAATACTCTTGAAAGCTTGCAAAATGGTGCTCATACGTGCATAATCGGTGAAAAATCGTCAAATTCTTCTAGAAAGCTTGCGAAAGAGTGCTCAAACGATGAAAAACCGTCAAATACCTATAGAATGCTTGCGAAATGATACTCATACTTGCAGAAACGATGAAAAATCATCAAACACCTCCAGAAAGCTTGCGAAAGAGTGATCATACGTGCATAATCGGTGAAAAATCGTCAAATTCCTCTAGAAAGCTTGCGAAAGGGTGCTCATACGCGCAAAAACGACGAAAACCGCCAGATACCTTTAGAAAGCTTGCGAAATGGTGCTCATACGTGCAAAATCGATGAAAACCGCCAAATACCTCTTGAAAGCTTGCGAAATGGTGCTCATACGTGCAAAATAGATGAAAAACTGTCAAATACCTCTGCAAAGCTTGCGATACCTTCAGAAAGCTTGCGAAATGGTGCTCATACGTGCAAAATCGATGAAAACCGCCAAATACCTCTAGAAAGCTTGCGAAATGGTGCTCATACGTGCAAAATAGATGAAAAACTGTCAAATACCTCTGCAAAGCTTGCGAAAAGCTGCTCATACGTGTAGAAACAATGAAAAACCGTCAAATACTTCTAGGATGATTACGAAAGGGTGCTCATAAGTGCAGAAACGATGTAAAATCGTCAAATACCTTTAGAAAGCTTGTGAAAAGGTGCTCATACGTGCAAAACCGATAAAAAACCGTGAAATACTTCTACAAAGCTTGCGAAAGGGTGCTCATACGTGCAGAAACGATGTAAAATCGTCAAATACCTCTAGAAATATTGCGAAAGGGTGCTCATACGTGCATAATCGATGAAAAACCTTAAAATACCTCTAGAAAGCTTGTGAAAAGATGTTCATACGTGCAAAAACAATGAAATACCGTCAAATACCTCTAGAAAGCTTGCGAAAGGGAGCTCATACGTGCAGAAACGATGTAAAATCGTCAAATACCTCTAGAAAGATTGCGAAAGGATGCTCATACGTGCATAATCGATAAAAAACCTTAAAATACTTATAGAAAGCTTGTGAAAAGATGTTCATACGTGCAAAAACGATGAAAAACCGCCAAACACCTCTAGAAAGCTTGCGAAAGGGTGCTCATACGTGCAGAAACGATGTAAAACCATCAAATACCTCCAGAAAGCTTGCGAAAGAGTGCTCATACGTGCAGATACGATGAAAAACCGTCAAATACCTCTAGAAAGCTTGCGAAAGGGTGCTCATACGTGCAAAAACGATGAAAAACCATCAAATACCTCCAGAAAGCTTGCGAAAGGGTGCTCATACGCGCAGAAACGATGAAAAACCTTAAAATACCTCTAGAAAGCTTGTGAAAAGCTGCTCATACGTGCAGAAACAATGAAAAACCGTCAAATACTTCTAGGATGATTACGAAAGGGTGCTCATAAGTGCAGAAACGATGTAAAATCGTCAAATACCTTTAGAAAGCTTGTGAAAAGTTGCTCATACGTGCAAAACCGATAAAAAACCGTGAAATACTTCTGCAAAGCTTGCGAAAGGGTGCTCATACGTGCAGAAACGATGTAAAATCGTCAAATACCTCTAGAAATATTGCGAAAGGGTGCTCATACGTGCATAATCGATGAAAAACCTTAAAATACCTCTAGAAAGCTTGTGAAAAGATGTTCATACGTGCAAAAACAATGAAAAACCGTCAAATACCTCTAGAAAGCTTGCGAAAGGGTGCTCATAGGTTCAAAAACGATGAAAAATCGTCAAATACCCCTAGAATGCTAGAGAAATGGTGTTCACACGTACAGAAACGATGAAAACAGTCAAATACCTATAGAATGCTTGCGAAATGGTGCTCATACGTGCAAAAACAATACCCAATCGTCGAATACTTCTCGAAAGCTTGCGAAAGGGTGCTCATACGTGCAAAAACAATGAAAATCCGTCAAATACTCTTGAAAGCTTGCAAAATGGTGCTCATACGTGCATAATCGGTGAAAAATTGTCAAATTCCTCTAGAAAGCTTGCGAAAAGATGCTCATACGTGCAGAAACGATGAAAAACCGTCAAATACCTCTAGAAAGCTTGCGAAAGGGTGCTCATACGTGCAAAAACGATGAAAAACCGTCAAATACCTCTAGAAAGCTTGCGAAATGGTGCTCATACGTGCAGAAACGATGAAAAACCATCAAATACCTCCAGAAAGCTTGCGAAAGGGTGCTCATACGTGCATAATCGGTGAAAAATCGTCAAATTCCTCTAGAAAATTTGCGAAAGAGTGCCCATACGTGCAAACACAATACCCAATCGTCGAATACTTCTCGAAAGCTTGCGAAAGGGTGCTCATACGTGCAAAAACAATACCCAATCGTCGAATACTTCTCGAAAGCTTGCGAAAGGGTGCTCATACGTGCAAAAACAATGAAAAACCGTCAAATACTCTAGAAAGCTTGCAAAATGGTGCTCATACGTGCATAATCGGTGAAAAATTGTCAAATTCCTCTAGAAAGCTTGCGAAAAGATGCTCATACGTGCAGAAACGATGTAAAACCGTCAAATACCTCTAGAAAGCTTGCGAAAGGGTGCTCATACGTGCATAATCGGTGAAAAATCGTCAAATTCCTCTAGAAAACTTGCGAAAGAGTGCTCATACGTGCAAAAACGATGAAAAACCGTCAAATACCTATAGAATGCTTGCGAAATGGTGCTCATACTTGCAAAAACGATGAAAAGTCATCAAATCCCTCCAGAAAGCTTGCGAAAGAGTGCTCATACGTGCATAATCGGTGAAAAATCGTCAAATTCCTCTAGAAAGCTTGCGTAAAGATGCTCATAGGTGCAAAAACAATGAAGAACCGTCAAATACTCTTGAAAGCTTGCAAAATGGTGCTCATACGTGCATAATCGGTGAAAAATCGTCAAATTCTTCTAGAAAGCTTGCGAAAGAGTGCTCAAACGATGAAAAACCGTCAAATACCTATAGAATGCTTGCGAAATGATACTCATACTTGCAGAAACGATGAAAAATCATCAAACACCTCCAGAAAGCTTGCGAAGAGTGATCATACGTGCATAATCGGTGAAAAATCGTCAAATTCCTCTAGAAAGCTTGCGAAAGGGTGCTCATACGCGCAAAAACGACGAAAACCGCCAGATACCTTTAGAAAGCTTGCGAAATGGTGCTCATACGTGCAAAATCGATGAAAACCGCCAAATACCTCTTGAAAGCTTGCGAAATGGTGCTCATACGTGCAAAATAGATGAAAAACTGTCAAATTACCTTTAGAAAGCTTGCGAAATGGTGCTCATACGTGCAAAAACGATGAAAACCGTCAAATACCTCTAGAAAGCTTGCGAAATGGTGCTCATACGTGCAAAATCGATGAAAAACTGTCAAATACCTCTGCAAAGCTTGCGAAAAGCTGCTCATACGTGTAGAAACAATGAAAAACCGTCAAATACTTCTAGGATGATTACGAAAGGGTGCTCATAAGTGCAGAAACGATGTAAAATCGTCAAATACCTTTAGAAAGCTTGTGAAAAGGTGCTCATACGTGCAAAAACCGATAAAAAACCGTGAAATACTTCTACAAAGCTTGCGAAAGGGTGCTCATACGTGCAGAAACGATGTAAAATCGTCAAATACCTCTAGAAAGCTTGCGAAAGGGTGCTCATACGTGCATAATCGATGAAAAACCTTAAAATACCTCTAGAAAGCTTGTGAAAAGATGTTCATACGTGCAAAAACAATGAAAAACCGTCAAATACCTCTAGAAAGCTTGCGAAAGGGTGCTCATACGTGCAGAAACGATGTAAAATCGTCAAATACCTCTAGAAAGATTGCGAAAGGGTGCTCATACGTGCATAATCGATAAAAAACCTTAAAATACTTATAGAAAGCTTGTGAAAAGATGTTCATACGTGCAAAAACGATGAAAAACCGCCAAACACCTCTAGAAAGCTTGCGAAAGGGTGCTCACACGTGCAGAAACGATGTAAAACCATCAAATACCTCCAGAAAGCTTGCGAAAGAGTGCTCATACGTGCAGATACGATGAAAAACCGTCAAACACCTCTAGAAAGCTTGCGAAAGGGTGCTCATACGTGCAAAACGATGTAAAACCATCAAATACCTCCAGAAAGCTTGCGAAAGGGTGCTCATACGCGCAGAAGAGATGAAAAACCATCAAATACCTCCAGAAAGCTTGCGAAAGGGTGCTCAT